CGGAATTCCTTTTCTAGCAAGGGAGTCAGACACAATAAACAAATAAGAAAATTATACCTAATGGTGTGAACAAACACCAAGGAAACAACTTACAATATAATTAAAACATACCCGTTCCTGTCAGAAGCAGCTGTTATTTAGATGAACTCCCCTGCTAAAAACAAACTGGGCACCGAAACGAATTCAGTTTTTGATAGCCTCATGCAACAAAAGGGACAGAATTATAGGCATAGGGCTCACCCAAAAGCAGAACAATCCTTCTGTTGTTCCCTAAAGGGCCATAACCAACCTCAGGGCTTGGGCCACTTAGGAGTAAGATGTCCCCATTTTTCCCACCCTCCACAGGTCTGCACGGACAATCAAGCTGCTTTAGAACAGGAGAGATCTGCTAGGGGGATCTGTTTAGATCATGAATGCATTTGTTCCCAGAAGGTGTGTTCTTAGGGCTCACATAGATCCCTGGCTTTCATCGCCCCAAACTCCTCAAGCCATGAACTTAGTGCAAAGGAATCCTGTCTGGTAATGCCCCTAACTAAAACCCTAAAAACTCTTTCTATAAGCCGCCTTTGCTTTAGGCCTTAAATCTTCATAGAAAGAGTTTCCAAATGAAAATGAGGAGTATACAATAATATCCAAGAATACAAAGAAACAAGATTGACAAGTAGGAGTAGGAAGTTAGGAAGAGTCAGCTGGTGTTGCTTGAATTTCAGAGAGAGGTGCCACCGTACTCATCGGCCTTGCTCAGGTCAAGAATAAAACCAAAGGGACTAGTAATATTTTGTGACTTGCAATTTGCCTACTTCTATGATATGCATTCGTGTTAACCTAGCAGGGTACAGGACGAGACGCTACAAAAAGCGGATCCCAACTTCAGGCACAGGTGTTAAGGCCCACTCTCTGAAGTTTATAAACTAAGTCCAGCAACACTGATGTGAAAACATGGAAAGGAGAAAAGGAATATCAAACTACCAGGACACTGGTGATTAGAAAGGAAAAGGCCATGGGAGATGAGCATCTAATTTTAAAAAAATGGAAGCATCTGTAAAAGAAAGGAATGAAGGGGGGCATGTGGCTGGCTCAGCCGGTTACACATCCAATTCTTGATTTCGCCTCAGGTCATGATTTCAAGGTGCTGAGATGCCCCCCAAGACCCAGAGGGGCTCTTCACTCAGCAGGGAGTCTGCTTGAGATCCTCTGTCTCTCTTTGCCCATCCCCCTTTCCCCTCCCCTTGTGTGCACGCCCACACAAGCTCTCTCACTCTTTCTCTCTTTAAAATAAATAAATAAATCTTAAAAAAAAATAAAGGAATGAAGGGAGGGAGATGAAAAGAGTAAATGTAAAAATAGGGGCAAAAATAAAGAAGGACTAAGCTTACCCCAGTGTTAACTGTGTTAGTCCTGGATGAGAAGAATTATAAATGATCTTTATTTTCTTCATTTTGATTAGCTGTATTTCTTAAATTTTCTCATTATGTGTTTTCCATTACCCAGTTTCCACTATAAATGCTTTAAAGGAAAATAATCAATTTTCCAGCCTCCAAAGGAATGCCAGGTTTGCTAGGATTGCAAAGGCCAGGTTTAACCTTGAAAGTTCTTATTTTAATTTCTAGTATGCAAATCTTCCCCTCTAGGAATTCATTCTCTTTTGCGTTTGAGTATTATCATTTATTGCACTTAAAAGTGCACCTGAGAAAGAAGCAATTTAATTAGAGAGAAAGTTTATATAAATAAATAAATAAATAAATAAATAAATAAATAAAAATAAAGTTAAAAAAACTAGAGAGAAAGAGAAGGGGCGGGGCAGGCTGGGGGGGGGATGCGGAGAGAGACGGAAGAAAATGTCCTTACTCAAACCATCAACACATTTTTGAAAAATAAAAAAATGACAAAATAAAATATTATTAAGAAAAGTAAGCATACTTCTAAGCATACTTAAATTCTGTATTCAGAATTTAACAGTGTATTCGGTTAAATTCTATAGCATTAAAAGTCACCTACTATTCACTGGATAGATAAATTAACTTTTCAATCAAAGTGGCTTATTTTACAGATGCATTCCCTGACTCTATAAGCTTTCCCATTAAACATTTCACTGAATCCTCATTCCATGAAGAACTTTCCAGACTGGTCCGAAAAAAAAAAGTGACAATACTGGGGCACCTGGGTGGGTCAGTGGTTGAGCATCTGCCTTGAGCTCAGGTTGGATCCCGGGGTCCAGGGAGCCTGCTTCTCCCTCTGCCTATGTCTCAGCCTCTCTCTCCAGGTCTCTCATGAATAAATAAATAAAATCTTTTTTTTTTAAATGTGACAATTCTACCTTTTTTCCCCCTTTGAACAATATCATTTTCTTCTATACCTCTAATAGACTGTATCAGGGAGGAATACTTTTTGGCTGCTAGTAACAGGAAACTGTATTTAAATCTGTGCTTAAATCATAGGAATATATATTATCTCACTCAACTAACAGTCTGGAGTTAGATGGTTCCAGGGTTCTTTCAGGGGCTATTGATATCATCAAGACCCAGACACTTCTCACATTCCCCTGCCATCATCCTTAGCATGTTGGTTTTTATGCCCATGCCTGTTGCCTCACTGTTGCAAGACGGCTGCTGCAACACCAGACATCACATCCTCACGCTGTGCTTAAATGTAAGAATCAAGGGTATAGCACAAAATATTCCTCTCTCAGAAGGCTCTCCCTTTATCCAGGGAAGAAACATTTCCAGAAGTCTTCTTTTGGCCCCCAGAGTCAGAATTGGATCACCTGGGTACTCCCAGTTACAAGGGTGGCTGTGAAAGTATCCTCTTTTTAAGCCTTCCTCCTCGACCCAGTGTCTTCATCTGTAATGGGGTGGCACTGTGATGACTTATCCTGTCCTCCCCTCCCAGGGGGGTGGCTTGTTTCAGTCCTGGTGCCCTGACTGAACGCTTACTCTCTGAAACTAATTGCAATAAATAAGCGAAATTGCATCTCTTTCAAATATACACTGTTGTGCATATCATTTAAAAATCCAGGAATGGGGATCCCTGGGTGGTGCAGCGGTTTGGAGCCTGCCTTTGGCCCAGGGCGCGATCCCGGAGACCCGGGATTGAATCCCACGTCGGGCTCCGGCGCTTGGAGCCTGCTTCTCCCTCTGCCTGTGTCTCTGCCTCTCTCTCTGTGTGTGTGACTATCATAAAATTAAAAAAAAAAATCCAGGAATGTTGGGCAGCCCAAGTGGCTCAGCGGTTTAGCGCTGCCTTCAGCCCAAGGCCTGATCCTGGAGACCCAGGATCGAGTCCCACGTTGGGCTCCCTGCATGGAGCCTGCTTCTCTCTCTACCTGTGTCTCTGCCTGTGTGTGTGTGTGTGTGTGTGTGTCATGAATAAATAAATACAATCTTTTAAAAAAATAAATAAAAATCCAGGAATGCTCAATTAAGAAGTTAATGATATAAAGTATCCATACTTTAATATTTCAGGCATTGAAGTACTCTACAAAAATTTCTTTCCACTAATTCCACATTGTCATTATTTCTTTCCACTTATTTCCACTAATTCCAAAGGCATTGTCATTGCCTTTCATTATTTCTGTGCTTCACAAAGTCCTCAGAACAAAGATGCCCAGACGTCGGTTGCTCTATACCCACCCCTTGGAAGGGAGGAGTTTCCCAGGACCTCGAGGAACATCAAAATAGTGCTTTGAAAAAGAAGAGCACCCCAGAAGCTGGTGCTGGTTGTACCTCCGCCTTCAGGAGTGAGAACGACCTACAGCAATCAATATTTCTGCCCAATCAATAAGCAGCAGCCCCGGGTCCCCAGGAGCCAGAAGCCTCCGGAAGCCCTGCAGAAGCGCCCCGGTTCGCTTGCCCCAGCGGCTCAGGGCTGCTGCGCGCCCCCCAGGTGGAGTGCCGTCCCCCGCACTTCCAGACCTGAGCGAAGCAAATGCACATCCTCACTTAGTCGTTTTGAGAGCCAGAGACCGGTAGGCTTGGGTCCAACGGGCTAGTGAAGCCCGCGGGAGCTGGAGTCAGAGCTCCTGGGTTCAAATCCGGCTCTGCCACTCACCAGGCACGCAACTTGGAGCTACCAGTTAGCTTTCAGCGCTGGGGTCTCCTCGCCTGTCCAGTGCGGATGACGGCAGCCCCTGTGTCCCTAGGGCTCCTGCGAGGAGTACAGGAGTTCAACCCCCTACCCCGCCCCCCAGAAAGCGCTGGAAACAGAGCCCGGCTGGCACGCAGCGAACTAAGTGCCTGCGGCTCCGCAACATTTTGCCCGGGTCTGAAACGGCTCCTGTGCGTTACGAAACTGGAATCCTGGGGGCTGCGTGGCCGAGGCTGGGGCCCCGGAGAGCAAGGGAGGAAAGAAATGAGGGCAGGGGCCGGGGAGCCCACCTACAGCTTCCGTCTCCCCGCCTGCCGTCTCCAGCGTTTCTTCTTCTTCTTGGAGGAGCCGGACGGGCGAGCGGCGCCGCGCAGCGTCCCTCCAATCAGACACCCCAAGGCCGGCGCCACGTCCGCGACCTGATCCAATCTCGTCCCCTGGAGGGCGGGAACGCCAAGTTCCTACCTGCACCTGTGGCCGCTGTGGCCGCCTCCTCCGTTGTTGTTGTTGCTGTTTTTTTTTTTTTTTCTCCACCTCCTCCTCCCCCCCCACCCCCCACCCCGGGGTTCTGGTTTCTCGAATCACTTGGCGAATAACCAGCAGGTGGGCAGATAGATGCCTTTTCCCCGTGCAAGGGACCGACCAGAGCGAGCCTCCGAGGGGCCCCCTCCCCGCGCCTGCCGGGCGGCGCCAAGCAGGGAAGAGGGGCGCGCGCGAGGATGAAAGGCTTAGAGACCCGGGCGGCCTGCCGGGGCTTTCACCTGCGCCGGTGAGCCCCGCACCTGCTCGCGCGGCGCCCTCCGCCCCGAGCCCAGCGCGCCGCGGGCCCAGAACGGCCGCCACCGAGGCGGCGCGTGCAAGTTGGAGGAGCCAGCGGAGGCCAGCAGCGGCGACCGGCTTAGCTGGACTGCAGAGATTTCGGCCCACACACCTTCCAGAAAGAAGCCCGACCTCCCCAAGACCGCGCGGAGGGACGCTGCGCCGGGCTTCCAGGTTGTCCCCAGCGCACCCCCTCCGGAGTCGTGGGATCCTGGGAAGCCGGAACAGGTGAGCGATTTGGGGTGATCCCGCGTCGGCCAACACAGACCCCACTCCGGGGTGTCAACCTGGGGTGCTCCCCCCACACACACACCCCTCCTCCCCCACCCCGGCTGGGGGGTGGGGGGGGGAGTTGAGAGCCGCAGGCGCTCTGCGTACATTTGCGTAATTTGCAGTCTTTTCCTTGCGCAACTAGTGCAAAGCCTGTCCGCGCACAGTTGGTTGTGGAACAGAGAATGCAGGGTGGGAGACAGAAGGCAGCCATCAGGACCCCCCCCCCAAAAAAAAACACCAATAATGGATAACTTGGGGGTACTTCTCCGAGGCGCAAGATAGAGGGAGCGGGATGTTTGCAAACCCAACTGCCCACGGTGCCAGGGGGAGTGGGCGCCTCCTGACGGGAAGAACTTTCGGCGGGTTTAGCTTCTATTGTTTTCAGGTCGCAGCTCGAGCGTGCCCTCGGGGCGTCCTGGGGAGGAGCCCCGGCCCCGGTCTCGGCTGCGGAGGCCGCCGCGCCGCCTCGCGTGGGCGCTCCAACTTTCCCCGCGGTTCCCGGAGCAGAACCTCCAAACACCAACACCTCCAAAGTTGCGCGGCCCGGCGCGCCCGCAAATCCCCAGAGCGCCAGGCGCGTGGGATGGGAAGGAGCCCGGAGGAAACCTGGCAGCGCCCCGCGGCGCCCCGTTCGTCGGGCGGGCGCCCAAGACCCAGCCCAGAGAGCGCGCGCGGAGGCCGCTTCCCACACCCGCACGCTCAGCGCCGCCCGCCGCCCCTGCGCCCCGCGCCGCGCGGTTTTTAAAGCTGGGATGAAGCACAAAGGTTCGGAGTTCCAGGCTGCGCGCAGCGGGTTCCTCTCTGGAGGAAGGAATCGCGCAAAGAAAGAACGAACGAACCAGGGATCTTTCATGCGTGACCCAAAACCTCGGGAGTTGAATTGCGTGGAACACACAAGACCCACCTCGTGCGCCTTTTATTTTCTTTATTTTTTAAAGGTTTTATTTATTTATTCATGAGAGACACAGGGAGGGAGAGAGAGAGAGGCAGAGACACAGGCAGAGGGAGAAGCAGGCTCCATGCAGGGAGCCCGACGTGGGACTCGATCCCGAGTCCCCAGGGTCACGCCCTGGACCGAAGGTGGCGCTAAACCGCTGCGCCACCAGGGCTCCCCCCGGGGCGCGTTTTAATACAGAACTCAGAGGAGGGGACATTTGCCGCCTGGCCTCGTCTCGGCCATCGGTGGGGGGGAGGGGGGCGCTTCAGAGGGACGTTGAGATTGGTCTCTGGGGAATAAAAGGAAGCGTGGGGTGGCGGTTTTGGTTTTCAAGGGAAGCTAAGTCTACGCATGCTTCTCTGAAGGCGACAGGTAGACGTTGTCAAAAGCATAATTTAAAAGAAACAAAACACCATGAGCTTGCCTCCTGGCGCTTAGGAGCACGTAAGTCCCCCCCCCCCCCCGCCACACACACACACACACCCTGCGAAGAATCACATCGAGAAGGATCCTGTAGCAGAAACCTATGGGGGGAGAAAAAGCCTTCGGGGGAAATTTCTGGAACTGTTGATGGGGGCGGAAGGAGGGAGTCTAACATTCAGGGCTCACCTCCGGCGGGGACGTGCTCGCTGTGGCGCGCCCTCCTCCCAGGTGCGCATCCGAGAGGAGGCCCCCCCGGGCGGCCCCTGCAGTCAAGGCCACAGGGCAGGCCTGCTTCCCTCTGGAGCAGGTGCAATCCAGACGCCCGGGAGCCTCCCGGGGGGTGGGGGGTGGGGGGTGGGAGGGGGGTGCCCCGCGCGCCGACCCCCTGCACCGGCCCCGGGCTTGAGGGACGGGAGTGCCAAGCTGCCTGGAGACCGGACGGTGGCGCCCTGCAGGCCGCTGGTCCCCGCGCCCTCGGGGGCGCAGCGCCGCGGATCGGGGCGGGCGGGGCGAGGGGAGGACGCGCGGCTCCGGGGCGCGTGGCCTGGGCCGACCCAGTAACCGAGTTGTGCTTGCTTCCCCCGCACAGGCCGCGGAGCCCCGCGCCGCCCCCCCCCCCGCCCCCGGCCCGCGGGCCATGGCCGACAGCGGCGGCTCGGGCGGCTCGGGGCCCTGGTGGAAATCGCTGGCCAACAGCAGGAAGAAGAGCAAGGAGGCGGCGGGGGCGCAGCCGCCCGCGCAACCTGCGCCCGGGGAGCCCGCGCCGGCCGCGCCGCCCAGCCCGGACTGGACGGGCGGCTCCCGGGAGAACCAGCACCCCAACCTCCTGGGCGGCGCCGGCGAGCCGCACAAGCCGGACAAGCTGAGCGGGGAGAAGTCGGGCAGCAGCAGCCGCCGCAACTTGAAGATCTCGCGCTCCGGGCGCTTTAAGGAGAAGAGGAAGGTGCGCGCCACTCTGCTGCCCGAGGGCGGCGGGGCCGCGGAGGAGGCCGCCTTCCCCGGGGACCCCCGCGACGACGCGCAGTAGCGAGCGGGGCGCGCCGGGCCTGCCCCTCTCCCCGCCACCCTCCCTGCCCCCCAGCTCTGCACCGCCCCAGTACCCCGCGTCTCCGCCCGCCAACCTCAGAGGCGTGCACACGAGGCCTCCACGCTTTGGTTTTCCTGGAAATTGAAGTGTCCGCTGAGCTTTCAGTGTTTCAGGACTCAAGGAGGCATCGCGTGTTTATCTGTGCTGGGAGAAGGGGCCTGCCACAGAGCAAGTTGGCATCATCATCTCTATCTCCCCCCCCCCAAAGTTCTCCCGTGGCCTCCATCCCTTGTGCCACCCGGGGAGTGAGAAGGGCCCTTCTTCGAGTTGGTGGCCCAACTGGGACTGCGCAGCCGGGACACCCAGCCCTGATTCAGGACTCGCTCTCCGAAAGCGAATCACAGTGGCTGCTTTCAACGCCAGGGAAATGCACTTTAGACGTACTTGGGTAGCATCCTACTTTAAGTGAAGGGACGACGGACGACGAGAGAGGGCAGGAAACCTTCTTAGGTAGAAGCATTTTAAGTAAGGCAAGAGATTGCTTGTAAACGTTGAACCACAAAACTGTACTGCCTGTTTTCGTGTGGGCTTATTAAAATTGTCGCACTGTAAGACTTAAGGTGACTTTGGTGTGTTTTCCATGGCAAGACTGAAGTCCATCCTACTTAAAAGCTGGCATACAGAGGCCAGACTGACAGAGTTAATCATTTGCCACACGACATAACAGCTACTCTGCGATCTTGCTAGAAGGAGGAGAACATTTCTGAAAACTAACATCACCCAGGCTGGAACCAGTTGGCGGGACATCTCTATTTACTAGCTAAATTTAAGGAAGGGAGGGAGAAGCCCTATAATTACTCCCAAATTCTCTTTGTTACCTCAGTACATCTTCACACAGTAGAGGAGCTCACACTGCCAGTACTAATTCTTTTTAAAAGTATCCATCATTACCGTTGCTAACAATTGTCTGAAAATACTTGCTGGAATAGATGGACTGAACTCTTGGTTTGTGCAAAGCCGGCCTCTCTTCCCACCCCTTTGCTTCAAAAGCTTATTTCTTTAGTCTGACTTATGCATTTATCTGGTTTCAAAGCCTTGAGATGTACTAATCTGAAGATTCTGAACAAAAATCTACCTGTTTGCTTTTGTTACAAACTTCAGGAAAAGGAGTAAATAAATCCCACTTGCTTTCAGCAAATTACAAGGGAGTTATTGTAGTTGTTAAGGGCCACTGGGATCATTCCCACCACAATTCCATTCATTTATAATCATCCAGAAACACATAGCAAGGAAATTGTAGTGGTCAAAGTGTACATGTATATATAGTTTAGATAATTACAAGCAAGAACTTAACTGGAGCTTCTGAATGTGTTATATAGAAAGAGGCAGGTTTTTCTTTCTCTCAGGGTAGCAATTTATAAAACAGAGAAACATTCATTGGCTAAAGAGATTGAACAAAACCAAACTTGCTGAAAATAGCTAAAAGGGACTTAAATTAATCAAGTTTGGGTACCAGCACAATAATAGAATTTACCATTTGATACATGAATTTCCACATACCAAAGGCATAAACGAAATTGTTTGTATGAGGATTACAAACACTTTACGTTAAAAGAGAAAAATCTATGAGTTTTTTTCATCATGAAAAGACTTTTTTGTTGTGTATTTCGAACTGGGAATATGTGACCAAAGTCTCATCAGTGTGAGCCTCCTGGCCGAGGAAGACTTTATACCGGTTTTAAGTGGGCCTCCCATCTCGAGGCTCTGATGAAGACGAGGGAGAGGAGAATCTGCTGGGGAAGTTCACAGTACGGAGGGAAGAGCAGGCTGGGAGCAAAGCAAGCAAAAGCTGCCAAATAAAGCTTTGAAACACAATAAAGCTCCACTTTCTCCACTTTGTAGAAAGTAATCAAAATTAGAGTCAATAGCTATCCAAAATACTTTTCCCCTTCCAGGAGGACCAATAAATTTATAAAGTTAAACCTGCAATTGCATACTTCTAAAATTTTACAGTAACTCTTTCATTCATGGTTTTATTGTTTTAAAAAAAACTTTTTTTTCTTAAAAATTCCTTTTGATTCATGAAACATTGGCATTTTCCCAAGTTCTGTATCTTGTTTGGGATCCCATCCAAATCTATAATTGCTGCAGATAACCCATAGCAGATACATAACAGTGGAACTTATTCACATGACATCTTTACCTCACTGTTCTGGAAGAATTGAAAACCATGCTAATGGCAGTTATGACGGTGAGTGCAACACACAATCCACAGTTGAGGTTTGTAATTACAGAGTTTTAAAGCAGTCCTAATTATGCAGTGGGAGGGATGCACTGATTTAATCCCAACTCAGTGAAATCAGAAACCAAGCAAAATTGGTGGGATGAAAAGATCATAGGTAAGATGAGATAATTTGACAAAGTATCTTGCTGGGATTTATATGCTTTACAGATGATTAATTACATTCTTGTAACATGTATACAGATTTAAATTTTTTTAAACCTCAAGATAATTTATAGTAAATTGAGGGAAAGTGTTAAATTAAACTTGGAGTTAATTAGATTAGAGGCTTTTGCTTTCTTTAAACCATCTTACAAATGAAATTTCACCCACACGTTTGGAAACCATTAGAGAAATTTTAATACCATGGTTCCAAATGATATGGAGGGGAAAGAGATAAAAATCTAGTTGTGTGTTTGCTAAATGCTCTCATAACCATGATAATTATACCCACAGGGTAGTTTTCGCTTCTGGACTCTCCTTGCCGAGCAGTGACTCCTATCACGGGGTCATTTGAACATCCCTTTGTGTTCATACTTCCATCATTCATCCCATTCTGACTTGCATTTCAAGAGCATTTCAAGAGTTTTGTGGATGTAGTTAGGACATTCTGCTTTAGTATAACACTGGGAAGTATAACGTGCCTTGAAGCATTATGTGAATTCAGCAAGCCTGATTTTGCCGCATACTTTGAAAGGAACTAATAAACCTAGTGAACAGTAGCACTGGCTAAAGCTTTGTCAGAAATAGTTCTCCCAAGATGTTCAGAAGAAAATGTTTGTGCCTTCAAATAAATAAATAATAAAAAGTGAGCAGAAAAAAATTTCAAATAACAAGTGAATCAGAGGGGATCCCTGGGTGGCTCAGCGGTTTAGCGCCTGCCTTTGGCCCAGGGCGCGATCCTGGGGTCTCGGGATCGAGTCCCGCATCGGGCTCCCGGCATGGAGCCTGCTTCTCCCTCTTCCTGTGTCTCTGCCTCTCTCTCTCTCTCTGTCTATCATAAATAAATAAATAAATCTTTAAAAAAAAGTGAATCAGAAAGGAGGAAGTAGGGGCACCTGGGTGATTCAGTGATTGAGTGTCTGCCTTCGGCTCAGGTCTTGACTCTGGAGTCCTGGGATCAAGTGCCACATCAGGCTCCCTGTGAGGAGCCTGATTTTCCCTCTGCCTATATCTCTGCCTCTCTTTCTGTGTCTCTCATGAATAAAAATATAATTTTTTTAAAAAAAGAAAAGAATAAGAAAAAGAGCGGGATAGTAATATCCAGTGATCACAGGACCCGTTTATGAGGAAAACAGAGAATATTACTTTTTTCCTAGCTGAGTCATGCCAACCAGACTAGAAACTCACACTCAGAAAGCTGGCCTGATAAATACAGTAAAGGGAAACTGATCTTTTAAAAATGTATTTGGTTTATGGAGCCTTTCATTATAATTTACAGAAATGTAGGAGATTCTTTCTTGGGATAAGCTCAAGTTTATCTCCATGGTGAGTAGAAAGTGGAACGAGAGATATTTTATACCGTTTTAGTGTCAACATACAAGCACCTTAGACTGAAACAAGCATGCAGCCCCGGGCAAACTTTGTCATTTTTGTCATTGAGAAGCAGGCTGTCCATTAGGCATTCTTCCTCTCATCTCTTCTCTGTAGTCGCCCACCCCATACCCACTTTGCCTTGGAGCCATTGCACATCCATTTCCACTAAGCTGAGTCATAGAAGAAGGGGTGCCAGGAGGCACAGGGGTCTTCCCTGGTCTCCTGCAGGCAGAGCATGTTGACAACCACTTTGTCCAAAGATGGCCCTACAGATTTGGATTATGGGAAGAAGAGCGTTCATGATGAGAGAAGATTATCACGGAGATAGGATGTAAGGAAACAAGACAGGCCTTCCCTAGCAGAGGACAGCTGACCATTTGTATAGAAATGGAAATAGCTATAATCCACGATAAGTAAGAGGACATAAGCGATCCTTCCACATGTTCAAACCAAGAAATTCAGCCATACTTCCAGACCAACTGCACTATGAGTGACACATCATGAACTGGTAATTATCCTGTCAGAGTTGTTGAAAAACCTCATGCAATAAAAAAGATCCATGAGGAAGTGTCTTGATCTGAGATGTGTAACAAGATTGTTACCCGTGAGACAGAAATGTCTGGCCCTAAAACTAGAGAGCATCATGTTCAAGAAGCTAAAGGTCCCTATCCATGAAAGGAGCCACCAGTTGAACTGTCTGTTGAGTGGGGACTATGGGGCCCATCTTGCACCTCCTCATGCCTTTTATGAAGGGATTTTCCTTGAGTTACAATACCCTGGACTATTAATTTCTTTCTAGTTCCAGTCAACAACTGCTGATTCATACCCTACAAGGATGGCAGCAAAAAGTTCCCGCAGTTTTCCAAGATGCTTTTTTTTTTTTAAGATTTTACTTATTTATTTGAGAGAGAGAGAGAGAACACACACAGAGAGAGACAGAGGAGCAGAAGCACACTCCCTGCTGAGCAGGGAGCCTGATGTGGGACTCGATCCCAGGACCCTGAGATCATGACCAGAGCCGAAGGCAGATGCTTAACTGATTGAGCCACCCAGGTGCTCCTCCAAGACAGTTGAACATAGTTGGCTCTCTGACTTGTTCTTGAGTCTTTGACAATCCGATGTCAGTTTATTATACTGTAAAATGATGGGATGGAGTCTATATTCCAGCTTTAAAACTCTCTTGAGGGCATCCCTGGGTGGCGCAGCGGTTTAGCGCCTGCCTTTGGCCCAGGGCGCAATCCTGGAGACCCGGGATCGAATCCCACGTCAGGCTCCCGGTGCATGGAGCCTGCTTCTCCCTCTTCCTGTGTCTCTGCCCCTCTCTCTCTCTCTCTCTGTGTGTGTGTGACTATCATAAATAAATAAATTAATTAAAAAATAAAACTCTCTTGAGTATTCTATTTTGAGCAACTGGTTGTAAAAGTAGTTCACATACTCACTGTTTACTATAAAACACAAAGGCACCACCTTTTCAGTACTGATGGTCAGGTGGGAGCCAGGGAGGAGAATTATAAACCATGAAAAGGCTACCTACCACCTTAAGGTGTGGTGCTACCAGAACCATGACATCATCTGCCCCAACAGTTGGGGTGATTCTGTTCTACAGGAACATTGAGGCTCGTTACTCATGTTAGAGTCAAATATTTAAGTTTGTCCTGTTACCTCTGCTTGGCATATCCTTTGCTCACCACCTGCCTGGCAAAGCCTCAATATACCTTCAAGCTTCAAGAGTCTCCTTCCCCCAAAACACAGATATTGGGAACATCTATGAGTGATACCGTCAAGCCCATGTTGCTCACCACCCACC